AATTTTTATAAATTTCTTGTTTTTTGTATCAGTAAGCGCAAGATTGATAAATGAGACACTGTCAACATTTGGTTTTTAAAATCTGGAAATTTTTTTGCCAGCCTTTTTCTTCTTCACCAAATAAGAAGGTGAAAGATGGGGGGGAAAATTGAGGTAATCAATCCCTCGTCCTAAAGTAATCATCCATCATTTTATGAAGACTGATAAGGGGACACATCAACTCCGGCTGAGGGACTGAACCTCAAACTCCTCCTAACTTCCCCCCTTTCTCTGCATTGGACTGACAAGCCACGGGGCTGGCAGAACTTTTCCAAATGAAGTTTTCCCAATGTTACACAAACGTCTCATTTACAACTTGTCTTTTTCTAAAGCATTTTTAACAAGAAAAAAATTGTTGTGCAGCTGCTGTTAAGTAAGATAGATAAGAAAGATTTCCGTTCTGGTTTTTTAACCCCGGAAGTTAGCCACCCAGGATAACCCAAGAAATCAGTGCGTATCGAGGACGTCTAATTTAAATTTCCCCATTGGTTCCTTAATCTTGGGTCCCCCAGGATGCCACCCACACCAGTTCGACTAACACCCAGGTACCTATTTGCTGCTAGGTGAACAGGACAACAGGTGTAAGGAAACGTGTCGAAATGTTTCCACCCGCCGGGAATCGAACCCGGGCCCTCCGTGTGTGAAGCGGGAGCTTTAGCCACCAGGCCACCGGGCCACGGTTACGGTTATTCACTCAGACTTCTAATATACCAAGTAAAATTATTTATTTAATTAGGAAGAGCAGCTAACTTATTTTAAACATAAATAAAACAGATTTTATAGATTTTACCAGATTTATTTTTAAGACTAGCTTGCCCTCCTTCAGAGGAAGGTGCCATCAAATTTTTAAAACCATTGTATAAATTCATCTTTTTTTTTGTGCTGCTTGTTGTTTTGGATTTCTTTTCCCTTCATTTTTTCCCAAATGTTTGAAAAGATAATATGTGCCAAATTATGTTAATCACCAGAAAAGTGACTGCCAGATAGTCAGTGATTTGCTGTAATTTGAGTTATCTGCATTTCATTATACTTATGCAGTACAGTTGACCCCCGGTTAACAAATATTTTTTCACTCCAGAAGTATGTTCAGGTGCCAGAAACCGCCCGAATTGTTCCCATAAGAAATTTGTGAAGTAGATTAGTCCATTTCAGCCCCCCAAACATAGACGTACAACGCACTTACATAAATACATTTACATAATTGGTCACATTCGGAGGTAATTCGTTAGGGCGGGGGTCCACTGTATATGCTAAGGGAGACTATAGAAGGAACTGTTGCTATGACATTTTAACCCTTAATTCTCTAACTGTCCAAACGTAGATCTATGTTTTTTTTTTACATTCTTTCTTACGGAGACAAACAAGGTCGAGCGCTACGCATGCAAGTAGATCTACGTTCATACGCGTAGCGCCCGAACATAGATCTACGTTCAATTTTACATTCTTTATTTTGTAAAAAAAAAAATGTAGAAGTACGTTTGGAGGGTTTTAAAGGGGTTAAGTTAAGAACATAAGAACGAAGGAACACTGCAGAAGGCCTACTGGCCCATGCGAGGCAGGTCCAAGTCTCCTACCGGCTTAAGCCAATGCACCCAACCTAGTCAGGTCAGGTCACATTGACTGAGATATGCAGTTCAGGGGAAACCTGTTGCCAGACTTGATCCTGGAGGTCAGAAGCACACGCCGGCACCCCTAAGGATCATGGAGATATTATGCACCTCTAGATATGAGGATATATTAAACAAGAAATTATAATAATTTAAATTTGGTATGTAAAATTTGAATAAAGCAGTCAGTATTATATCTTACTCTCTCTGCCTAGTTACCTCAACATGTTAGGTAAATGGACACATGCAACTAATGTGACATGTTTGTTGTCGCAACATTTTGCTTGACGAAGCTCCTAGAGAACCAAACGTTGCCAAATAAAATGTCACATTAATTGATCTGTGTCCAATTACTTGACAATTTGTCGTAATTCTCCCTTATTACCTCAACTTCATAATCATTTTTATTTCCAGGTAGCAATTTGAAGAGGGCGCATCCATTAAAAAGAGCCGAAGATGTAATACGTACAATTTCAATTTTAAATGTCTTTAAATTATACATATACAGTTGGAAACCCCGAGTTTCGCCATAATTCGTTGCGGAAGGCTGTTCCGATGCCGCTACCGAAAAAAGTTTGTTCCCAAAAGGGAAATAATGTAAATTAGATTAGTCCATTTCAGACCCCCAAAAATACACTTAAAAAAGCATTTTCAAAGTACACTTACATAATTGTTCGAGTTGGGAGGCGGCTGAAACCCACGGGTACCACTGTATCAGGTACATATATCCTCAGTAGGTGGTATACTGCTGACCTAATTTACTCGCACAGGCTCTATCTTTTTACCTATTCTTCTTTAATGTTAACTTCCTTGTTTTATTTCATTGTTGATTTCTTTTCAGAAAGTGATTCAAATAGACTATACAGGAAGGCCTTGTTTG